TGTTCAGTATATACCAAAATGTATCTTAGATCAAATACTATGATGGTCTTGCTGTGCGGATTATTTGGTATTTGATCGTTCTTCAATTAGTCATACTTGATGTACGGTCAACTAACTTTAGAACATAGTCCTTTAAAATTAACATATTAAAATTAATTTACTATAGAAAAACGCATGATGATAAATATGGAATGAAAGGCGTTACAGTCGTGGTACGAAGAGCAAATTCTACAAGGACAAACTCCGATCATGCCAAGGACTTTCTCGGGAAGTTCGGTAACAGAGTTAATGAAAATCGATGAGGTAGATGAGCTAAATGAGGTGTTAGATGAAGATGTTGAGATGAAAATCAACAATGAAAATCTAGAGACAGGTGAGACAGGAGAGAGGAAAGAAGAGAAAGATGAGAAAGAAGAGACAATTGGTAAACAACAAGATGCGAAAACCGAACTTCAAAAATACGGTAATTTAAAATCAAACTCTGAAAAGCTTAAACCCAAACCTATTATTACAAGTGAAAACAAATGTAATATAAATATTCAAAAATTTAAATTAACTAGAAATACTGAGACCTCTAATACTGTTTCCCAAATTAATACAAATAAAACCCTTACAGTTGATCATAAATTCGAAATACAAGATAACAAAGTCGATAAACTTCTTGGCGTGATACATAATTTCTGCAATCTTTCGGTGAAAACGGTTGAACAACTATCTGGTGCTGTTGTTCAAATGAAGGAGGTTCTGATCAACATCCAAAAAAAAATCTGTAAACTCTGACACTTTAAAAGATTTGTCGAGTTTATACAGAGAAAATTACGAGAGACAATTAGACAAAACTCATGACACGGTGTGTATGTTGGGCGATATAGCCAAAACATTTCAAAATGCACACAAGGACACAAGACAAAATATAAGAAAGATAAGCGATGAAAATCCAACATTGCAGAAAAAGGAAACAAGTAATCTAAAAGATTAGCTCACAACTAAGATTAAAAATAAATTAAAAGGGACTGTTGAAAATTTTAAAGAAAAAGATACGAGTAATAATTCGATAAATAAAGAAAGTAATATTAAAAACGTCAATGTCAATGACATAGTTAAATTTGAAATAATAAACAAAGGGGGGAATTACAAAAGAAATTATAAATTAACAAATAATGTTAAATTTGAAAATTTTCGAGATTATTTCACTTCGGAGTTGAGATCCAATGACCTTTTGCATGTGATTGAAGAGAATCATAATAACGATGAGATTAATGAAAAATTATTAAGTGAACAAAAATTTAAAGTACGTGATATTTTGATTAATCATTTGGATAATAATTATCATGCAAAGGTCATGCAATTTCAAGATTCGAAGGAAATTTTAAACAAACTTGCTGAAATTAAAAGATGCGAAATTAATGTAAATTCACATTCAGTTAAAAAACAATTATATAATATGAAATATATATTCGGTAAAACAACGGCGGGAGAATTTATCGAAAAATTTGAAGATACTATAGGAAGCTATGAAAATGCTGAGGGTTCTGTTCCTTTTTCTGACAATGAGAAAAGAGATGCATTTTACAATGCAATTATGGTTTCAGTACCTTCTGTACAGACCATTGAATTTGTTTCTAAAAATACGAAAGGTAAAAGTATTTCTTATGATGACCCTGGCGGATTCGATTTGCGTAATGTCTACTTAACTAAGCGGACTTTAGGTAGACATTAGGTAGACATGTAAAAAAACGTATAAAAAAGCTATTAATCGACTTATTATGATAAAAAAAAGTTGATAAAAGGGTAAATGAATGTTTATAGAGTAAATTCGTACAAAATTTGTAATTAATAAAGCAATAAATAATTAATAATGAATGGAAATGTGCGCGAGGTACCTGATCAGTTCAGCTGTACAATTATTTTCGTGCTATTTTCATGAAAAGAATATAAATTAACTGCAAAAACAATTGATATTTATAAAAAAGTGTAAAATTGATTTAATTTTACTGTTTGCAATACGAATTATTAAATAATAATTAAGTTTTTATCAAATGTGAATAGTGTTGTGAAAACCTGTGAAAACTAATGAGTTACTACATTACCGATCGCATATGATAATAAAAAGTTCTCGATGAGTGTAACAAAAAAGCTGCAATCATGTCCGTAATTTTGGACGAGAAACAATTATGAAATCAATATTTATTTGTATAACTTTATTCTGCATTTTAAAATTCACTTTTTATTTTCTTTCAAAGCAAAAGCTTGGAAGAAAACATGCTCGCACTGTATTGTAAAAACTGGTGGCGCCATCTCTCATATGCGATCGGTAATGTAGTAACTCATTAGTTTTCACAACACTATTCACATTTGATAAAAACTTAATTATTATTTAATAATTCGTATTGCAAACAATAAAATTAAATCAATTTTACACTTTTTATAAATATCAATTGTTTTTGCAGTTAATTTATATTCTTTTCATGAAAATAGCCCGAAAATAATTGTACAGCTGAACTGATCAGGTACCTCGCGCACATTTCCATTCATTATTAATTATTTATTGCTTTATTAATTACAAATTTTGTACGAATTTACTCTATAAACATTCATTTACCCTTTTATCAACTTTTTTTTATCATAATAAGTCGATTAATAGCTTTTTTATACGTTTTTTTACATGTCTACCTAATGTCTACCTAAAGTCCGCTTAGTTAAGTAGACATTACGCAAATCGAATCCGCCAGGGGAGTTAAAACTATTAATTATGCAGGATGAGACAACAAGAAAAGAAAAAGATGACGAGAAAGATGTGAAAGCTGCAAATATGATCAAGAAAGAACCAACAACGAGGTGTTTTGAGTGTCAACATTCAGGACACAAAGCAGCAGACTGTCCTAATCGTGGACTAGGATACAAATGTTACAAATGTAACAAATTTGGAAATCACATTGCTTCTCAATGTACAAACAATAACAAATTATAGTTTTAATTTACATTTTACATAAAACAGACGAATTTAAAATTACAAAAAATAAGTTTGTAAGTCAATTTCATGTATCAGAAATAGAAATAAAAAAAAGTTAAAAATTATGATGAAATATTTGAAATTTCTTATAGTGAACATAATTTAATTATAAAAGTAAAAAAAAATAATTTTAAGTAAAGAAGAGTTAATATTAAAATGTGTACATGTGTACTGTAATGTAATAATTAATAAATGAAATGAAGTAAAAGTAATAATTAAAAGTAAAGGTATAAGAATATTAGTAACATTTCAAGATTATAAAATATTTTGTTTTTTGATAATTTTATACTTTTTTATGTATGAATATGTTAAAGAGTTAAACTTGTGAATTAATGAATATAATAATTATATAGAATGTTAATTAATTAGAGAAAATTTTTTTGAACGCACTTATTATTTTATTTTAATTTATTAAAATAAAACAAGAAAATATATAGTTCTTTTTATAAAGCCTGATAGCATCGGATATCATGATAGCATGTAAATATCCACGGATATGTGACGAGAAATTTCAGGATATTCTGTAGAGCGGAAATGTCAATATGCATATTATATCGCAGGATATCCTTAAAATGTACAAAAACATATCCCTAGGATATCTGTTGGTTATCCGAAGGACATCCTCAGGATATCTGGAGGACATATTAAGTGTATACATAAGACATCCTAAGGATATTCTTAGGATATGCTATGGACCTACTTAGGATATCCACAGGACATTCTGTAGATATCTAGAAGACATGTTGAGGATATCCAGGGGACATTGTGTTGATATCGGGTCTTATTTTTTCTACAAAGTACTAAATTTACACTAACTTAAAAACAGAAGCTTAAAATTAATTATTAGGAGATTGTAAAAAGAAATTGTGTATAATCTTAAATTAGGTTTTAGTTCAGTTCGTTAAATACTACACATTTCCTTTGTTGTAATTTATTTTAATATTAGTTTCTTAAATTAATTATGGCTTTGAAACTTCTGTAAATTTTTTTTAAAATAGTCTTATTGCTCAAAGTGTCATAGGCAGTTTAAAGAAGGAAACTTTTTCCAATTTTTATTTCAGAAAATACTTGATAAGAGAAAATATGGGGGTGAGTATTATTAATTATTGAAGTTATTAAAAACCATAAATCTGAAAAGATCACATCATAATCGAAGTGATGACGCTGCCTCGAGTATAGTTGTTAAAATTTTTCATTATTTAGTATATTTTTCGTCATCTGATTATTTATAGTTACAATTTTCATCTAAAAAAAAGAAAATTATTTTTTTCTTTTGTCTTAATTCATATAATAAAATATATTTATAAAAAATTTGAAAGCTCGTGGTAACATCACCTAAAAAGAGCCGTCTTTTTACGTACAACTAAATCAATCATTTACACAAGATATCTAAATTTTTTGTCTTTATTTGGGAAGTTAATAAACTTATTGCGAGAATGGGTGTGGAGAAGTAATGGAATTTAGAGGGAGTTAAAAACGGGGAAATAACTTTTATTGGGAAGGGGGAAACAGTCATTGACTATGTCCTTGCAGAAAGGAGAACGAAGGAGTTGATTAGAGAAATGAAGGTGGGGAGAGAAGTGGATTCGGGACATTTTTCTTTAATAGTATAATTAAAAGAGGGAAGGAAGGGTTAATAGGAGAGAGGAACAAGAAGAGAGAAAAAAAACGGGAGTAAGATGGACAATTAGAGCAAGGAACGGTTGCTGGAATTCGAAGAGAGGATGAAGGAGAAAACAGAGAAGTTTAAAGAAGAAGGATGAGAAGATTTCAGATTGGAGAGGATGATAAGTATGACGGAGAAGGTAAAAAAGAAGATGATAAAGAAGGAAGAGGAGAAAAAAGGATGGTGGGATGAGGAATGTGACAATCTCCTTAGGAAGAAGATAGTGGAGGGATGGAGCAGGAAAGACAGTATAATGAGAAAGATATGTGTAAAGTCCTGAAAAAAAGATAATAAAAAGTAACAATAATTATTTTCTCTCACCCAGTGGTTCCTTTATATGTCCCCTTCGTCCAAATTTGGTTACAACTTGAACAGGCTTAAACCAATTGATATCTTCACGATTAAAAAACATAAATCTAATGACTGCTGATCGTTTATGAACTTTGAATGGATGACCACTTAAAATAACTCGTTTTACAACCAGCCTGTCTGCATTTGCAGATAGAACACTGCCCGTTGCAACCAAATCCTAATTTGTATAAAATTGAAAAGTAACTTCTAGTAAAAATGTAATTTAAATTTAATTTTATTAGAAAAAATAACCTTAGAACTTACCAGAGTACCACTTGCTTTTTGACGAAAGCATAAAACCGGACAAGGCGAGTACATGATAGGCGCATACATGCTTGCAGCGACTGTACTTTCTGGTTGAATAAATCTTTCATACTGAAAAATAAAAAAAATTTCAATCGTTACCATCTTTGATGATTTTATAATAAAAAAATTATAGTTGTATTAATTATAGTTTTTGGGTTAAAGTATATCCTGTCATTGCAAATCAAAAATAAAATCTATTAGTCTTTGTCTCTACCTGTCAAGTTTATTTGTAAAATGACTTTCTTCAAGAAGATGCAGAAAAATCTGCTGGATATAGAAACTTGGTCGATATTTTAAAATATCCTGAAAGAAGCTCGTAAGTAGAACAATTTCTGTATAAATTCATGAAATGATCAAAAACGTTTACATTAGATTCTTTTACTAGTTAAAGAAATAGAAGATTATCTCAATCTTTTGTCACGGAAAAATATTTTATAGCGTCATTCTAAAAATTGTCAAAATGCATCCAATAGAATAGTTTTTCAAGTTTTAAATACAGCTAGCAGTTCCGAAAGTGAATTATAGGTCCCAAACTAGGATGGTGTTTTAAGTAAGGAAAATAAAAAAAATAATAATGAAATTTTAATTAAACATACCTTATGTTTATTTCCATTGGTGTGTTGACTAAAGATTGGACAATTCGAAAATCTCCTGAATCCACATTGAAAGATTAAACGTTCTTTCGATTTTATTGGTATTAAACTTTCACCTGCTCGTTTAAGAACTACATTTACAAGTGAAATTTTTTGTTCATGTGGAAGCAGACCAAAAATAATTAAAGGACGATTCTGTGTGGAGCAGTACATTTCAAACATCTGTTTACTAAAATTTTTCACATGAATTGTGATATAGGAACCCGGCTGAAAATAAAGTATAATTAATGATTATAATAATCTTTCTTTTCATTTATAATAGAATTTTTTGGTATTAATAATTTTATTATTCTTATTATAATTACCAGCTAATATTATTAATATCAAAAAATATAAACAATTAACAATGCTATAGTAAAAACATTTCACTTCGTGTGTAGAAAGATAGTAAGAAATATATAAAATCAATGTAAATCTGAGTGGTAACGTAATATTTATTTTGAATTGAGCTGTCAGTATTTCAAAGAATTCTAAACACAAATTTTGTTAACTGTATATAAAAAATTATATTACCGAAACACCATCTTCTTTATTCTCAGCATTCTTTAAAATTCTTTTCCGTGTTCGTTCAAAATTCTCAAATTGAAAAATTCTAGCATAATCTCTAGGTAAATTTTCCTTTACATCCCAAGGTGTTGTTCTGAAAGATTCCAAACCTCGATACTTTTGAAATCGAAGTTTAGCAAGCATATTCTGTGGAGTGTCTAATTCATCAGGAAATTCTTTATCTGCCTTTGCCTCTATAAATGAAAACCATAATCATAGAAGTTTTAACATTTATCTTAAAATGAAACATTATTTTAAATCTTCAAATAGTAAGTGAAACAATTATTGCAAATATTTTCAGACTTTATTTACAATCATTACTGCAAGTAATATCGTTTACTTAATTAAAAATTATTTATTTAAATTACATATATTTTAAAGTAAATTTATTTTTAACTGTAGTTTTTGGGTTCAATGTACTAATATTAATTGTGTACGTAAATAAATTTGGGAAAATAATCTTTGTATTCCTTTTTTTTATTCGCATTTAAATCAGACGAAAATCAGTCAATTTAGTTTTAATATATATTAAAATAATTTAAAAACTATACAACATTCTTAAATTTCATGTTATAATTTTTAAAAATAGAAAAACAATTCTTACCTTTAATTTTTTTAAGCTCTTTTATTTCTTCTAGAATGTCTATGTCTTCGTCATAATGATCGTCATTAAAAGGAGCGTTTAATGCCACTGACTCGTACTCCTCATCGTCTGACTTGTGTTCGTTATCGGAGTCAATATCATCCTCAACTGACATTTCATCTTCCGACTCAGATAAGTCATCAATATTTTCTAAAATAATAAAATTTTGTTAACAATTGTAAATTTTTTCTAAATTAATATTATAAAAATAGTTAAAACAAATATTTGAAGTGATAACGATACATTGCAATTTATTTCCTTAAAATAAATTCGCAATTTCATGAAAAGTTAAAAATTTGATACCGTCACTACGCATAGTAACGGGGATGCATCAGGAAGATGGAACTCACGCACATTTATGAGCGTAAACTTTCGTTTCCTTATGCATCCCTGGCTTTGGCTGAACCATTGGCCACACGCTTTCCTGTACTTTTCCTTCATTTTCCTTTCTAGCGCCTCCCTTTCGCTTTTCACTGTTTTCCGCTTTTCTTCCCTTTCAGCAATCACGCCGCGTCAGACGCTCCACTCTCTTTTCGCTTTCCTATTCGCTCTCTCCTATCTCTCCGTGCGGCCCTTTCCTTTCTTCCACGCACCGTTGTAGCCTTCCGGAGTTTCTGCCCCTCATGGATGGTCCCTACTACGAAATACTGACGCTATTTTGGGTCCGTCTCTCGTACCAGCGATGTCAGTCAATCAGTGTAGTGATAAGAATATTAATCAGCGTTCGTTGCAAATTAACGCCCCCTCACACTCGTCACAATTATCAGCGCCCAGAGAGAATGGTTCTCTTCTGAAAGATCATCTCTTGGAGAACCAGTTGGACAGTTGGCTAGAAGAATCGGCTCAGGTGGCACGGGCTTAATTTTTGGAAGAGAGGCGTCTATTGATGAACATTCGTTCATCGTTGGTAATTTGTTTTTCTTATAAATCTTGTGGGATCATATTTGCACCAATGGTCCAGTTTGGTTGGAATCATCCTTTGTTGATTTTCAGTGAAATTCGAAATAAGTATTCAGAGTTTGATTAATGTGGACGGTGCACGCGGGTCTTTAATTATTCGCGAAAGTCTACCATTTTAATTTAATTTATTTAGAAATGTTTGTCAAATGACTTTAAGCAATAATAATGTTGACATTCATGACATTACAGTCAATAAAAACAAGAGTAATTCTTGGAGATCATTCAAAAACGTAAAGTAAGTTTAATGGTCAGAATTGTATTTTTTCAATTTTTAAAAGAATATTATTATATTCAGTACCGTAAAATGAGGTAAAGTCGGTGTTTGAGGGTAAAGTTGGCCGGCGCTTTAAATCATTTTAAAGTTTAACTATTACTTTTTTCCAGAAGAAATCCGAGTTTTATTAAAAATGTAGTTAGAATTAATGTAAATTAATAAATGCAATACAATATTTAAGTGTTTAAAGCGCCGGCCGACTTTACCCGCAAACGCCGACTTTACCTCATTTTACGGTACCTTAGGAATAAGAAATTAATAAACTATTTTCTATATAAACATGTTATTTATCAGTTACCTTATATATTTTAAATGAGCTATTAAATAGAATTATTTTTAATCGTTTTCATTTTATATCACAGCGAAGGAAAGGCGGACGTGAAGACGTTGTTCTCGGTGAGGTCGGTAAAATACTGAACCTCGACGAGACCATCGTCGATACAAAAGTGGTTGAGGCAGTTCGGGTAACACTGGGCAAGACAAGTCTAGAAATGTCATGCCAAGTCTTCACTCAGTATGGTCACAACAAGATGGCGATTCAGCGACTCCCGGAAACGGAAGCAGAATCCCTTCAAGGGACCAGAAGAGTAAAGAATAGCTGGGTCAACTGCAGAGTTCGCGCCAGGTTGGAAGTAGAGAGGTGCTATAGATGCCTCTGCTACGGACACCTGGCCGGAGAATGCACCAGCCCCGACAGGAAAGCTGCTTGCTGGAGGTGTGGCAGTCCGGACCACCGGAAGACGGAATGCAAAGGCGAAGCCAAGTGTATTACGTGTTCCGAAAATGGGATGAAGGACTTGAAACACTTTCCAGGAAGCAGGGCTTGCCCAGTTTACTGGAAGTTGCTCCAGGACCTAAAGTCCAGAGCTAAGATTTCTCCAAGTTAACCTCAGGAAAGGAAGAATCGCGCAAGATCTCTTGATGCAGACTGCCAGAGAAAGAGGAGCTGATGTGCTGCTTTTCAGTGAGCAGTACAAGAAGCCGGAATTCTCTGTCTGGATTGAGGATGCATTAAGAAGATCAGGTATACAGGTGTGTAACCAGGACATCACCATTGGTGACTTTCTGGAGACAGATAAGGGGTTTGTTTGGGTAGAAGTGTCAGGTGTACGTATATACAGCTGCTACTTCTCCTTAAACGATCCCTTTAAAAAATTCAATGCCGAGGTTCAAGCTCTTGAAGAAAGCGTTAGAGCTTTCGGCGGCGATGTCCTCATTGCGGGAGACTTCAATAGTAAGACGCTGGAATGGGAAGAGAACCGTCTAGACAGGAGAGGAACCTTGGTATCGAATATAGTCGATATAATAAGAGAATGCCCTGCAGCGAGGAGGAATTATACCCACTCTAAGGGAGACCTCCTGCTGCAAGAAGAGTGGCATAAAGCCAGACAGATCTTCAAGCGGGCTATAAGGAGTAGCCAAAGGAAGTGTTGGAAGGACCTGATCGGAGAAGCGAAAAATGACCCATGGGGGTTGGCTTTGGTGGTAATTTTTAAGAAATTAGTTTTGCGGCGAAAACCCCTGTCTTAGGAAGGGGGATAAACCCCTAGATAAAGTCTCATCTTTTAGAACAATTTGTCTATTGAAGGGATTTTGCTCACTTGTAGCCATAGACATACGAAACGCGTTCAACTCCGCGAGATGGGATATTAGTATCGAGGTGATAAAACGTAAAGTCGTGTAAACCTATCTGTTGCGAATGATAGATGACTATTGTAACGAAGCATTCGTTAGGGCCAGTTTCACCAACGGTCGGTTAACCTCGGATCAACTAACCTAATTCATCTCTTGATCGTCAGAGTTGATCGCTCGTACGTTTCACTAGTCTAATCGTAGTTTAAGGTGATCGCGTTTAGTTAATCCATACTTCCTAGCATTCCCTAGCCGTTTTGCCGCCTGATTTCAGTTTTGTGTTTATACAGTGTAACATTGTATAATTATATTTTTTGTTAAAATAATGAATTTTAAAGTTCCAATGGATAAAAAAATCAGGACTAGAGAGCCCAATTTGCTCAGTAGCGAGCGAGAGGCTCTGCTGACGATAATCCAGGATCATCGTCATATAATTGATTGTAGGAAAACTGATGGTGTCAGTTTAGACAGGAAGAAAGAGGAATGGAGAAAGATATGTGATAGATTTAATGTGATATCGGGCATACATCATCGAGAAGCTAGTTTTCTCAAACAGTCGTGGGAAAATATTAAAAAGAGAGTCAAGAAAGATGCTGCAGAAAGAAAACTGCAAACCTTCAAAACAGGTTTATACATTTCATAACCTCAAAGTTACACGTTAGATTTGTTTACTAATTGCAATAGAAATTGACACTTCTGAATATAAACAAACATACTGAATAAATAAAAAGGAAAAAAAAACTGATATGTTTCGGAAATTAATTAATATCATTAATAATAATTAATACCTTTCTTTGTGTTTTTGCAAAATGAAAGTTTTTGGTTTATTTATTATATACACTTGATTCAGACGAATGTGTTTTATAATTAAAATTGTAATTAATTTAAATCTAAAGTGTACTGAAAGTATAAACAGTATAAAAATTGTTCTTTCATTTGACTTTTATGTTAAATAAAATATGTTACATAAAATTATTAGGATGGTTTAAATGCAGAATAACATGAAATTACAGGGTTTTTTGTAATAAATATTTTGCTTATGTATGTATGTATATTTAATAACCTCAAAGTTACAGGAAATACTAAAGTAAAATTTTTTTCAATGTAGGTGGTGGTCCCTTTAATAAACCCAAAGAAGATCCTGAAAGTGACAGAGTTCTCGGTTTGCTGCAAGCAACAGCTTCAGGATTCAACAACACCTATGATGGAGATTCTTTATTTTTAACGTCACCTTGTAAGTTTTCAACCTAACCTCGTTATTCACAAAAACAAGTAGATAAAAAAAAGAAATAGATTTATTAAAAATATTTTGTATTTTATTATGAATAATTATAAAAATTAATTTATGTTATGTAGTCAAGTCTGATGCCAAAATATTGGACCCATCTGCATTTGAAGATGATGAAATGCAAGAAAGCAACGCAGATGACGAAAAAGATGAAGAGGTAATGACAAAATATAGTCATGAAATGAAACGTTTGACTTTTGACAAGAAATAATATCTAATCTTTGTTTCCAGACTAAAACTGTGAAGGATTGGTCTCGATACACCCCCCAGATGCTACGACAACCGATTAGCCAGGCTCTGAAAGTTGATTCTACAAATGACAAGCAATATCATGGTAAGATTAATAAAAGGAAAGAAATCGTATAATTTACAAATAATCTTTATTATAATCAATAATATCGAATCTGGTAAACCTAATTTTAAAAAAATTGGCTTACGTTTCAGAGTATGTACCATCTGAGGAAACCACACAATCAACCACTCTATCAACACCGGAAGCAGGAAAAAAAATGTCGTTCATTTCTGAAAGGATGAGCAGAAGGAGGCTGGTGCTTCCGAAAAAAGTAGTTGATCCATCCACGAATGAGGCTAAAATAAAAACTTTAGAAGGTACCTTAAGAATCGCCGAGGAGCAACACGAGTTGAATATGCAGCACATAAAAGAGGAGCACAGCCTTAAAATGCAGATCCTACGAGAGCAAAATCGACCGTTTAAGAAATCAACTTAGTTCAGCCGAGTTGAACGTAGTTTTGTAGATGGTGAAACTTGCGCGGAGACTTGATCTCGTTCAACCTCTACTATGAACGCGTTCAATGCTTGAACTCAGTTGGTGAAACTGGCCCTTAGTCGGTTGTTGGTCTTGCTTTTCTATGTGGCAGTCTAATTCAGTTGCTTTCGCGAAATCTGTCAAAGGACTGATTTACGCAGGCGTGACGTACGAACGTTCACGGGGGGCGGCGAATAGGGCCGAATAGTCATTTTCGTAGGCTAGGATT